TAACTTATCTGCATGAATGGTACCGAGGATAAAATAAGAAATGCATGCATGTACCAGTTTTCGACTTCTTACGTGCATTCCAAATATCTGAGGGGAAATAAATGCTTAAAACAACTCATGTACTTTGGCCTCGGGTTAGGAGAATTAAAACGATGTCTCCGCGATAGAGGCACGAAAATTGTGACAAGGAAATTAAAAGTGACCAGTAATGGTTAAAGTAAAAAATTAAGTGGACAAAATAAGGAAGTTCATGGTTCAAACCAGGTGGATCTCTTCAACAATTTGACAAGAACGGAATAAAGACGGAGGCTAATAGATGCATGCATTTAGTATTGTCTCCTCAGTACCATTAACAATAACCGATATGCATAGATATAGCTAACAGTGGGTGCAACCAGACAAGCTTAAGGTGCAAAACGAACGACGGAAATTCACATCTACGTCCAAGGCAGCTTTAGGCTAACAAATAATTGTTTATGAACACATAAGGCTGGCTTAATCCGGATTATAGCGACAGCCTCAGCAAACCGAAGGAAGCGGGGATTAGTATGACACAACACAACTTTAAACGCTGAGCCCAGCTCTAATTGGTGACCCGAGTCTAATAGGTGTTTGCCTGTCGAGGAAGCCGGCGGTCTGCGCGAACATGGAATCTGACGAGGGTAGGCAATCTGAGCAACTTCACGTTGAACCCAATTTGGCACATGTTCCTTTATTCGGGAAGTCAGTGTTCTATTCGTTCTGCCTAGGAAACTTTTTCCGCAGTCACATACAAATTGGTATACACAGTGTGAGTTGGCCCCAATAGGCTGAGCTTCCTTTGTTAGAGGTATGGGCAAATTTCGGATTCGGTTGATGACGACAACTTGTGCAGCATAGTAACTTCATTGTGTAGCCGAAATTATACGCTTAGTTGTCTTCAGCGTGGCTAAGTCACCTTTGAAAGATAACTCGATATACACTTTCTTCTTGGCTGCCGTGTGCACCAAGTCCTTTAGTCCTCGCGGTTGACTGTGTTTCTCGCTAGTTCTTCGAGGGTAGCCATTCGCCATTAGTGTTGCTGTAATTAACACTAGCTCATCGTCCAGACAGTCGGCCGAACAAATTCGTCTGGCACGACTAACTAGAGTCTTCACAAGTGTCCGTTTGTACCGCACTGATGTGAAGCTGGTGAAGTGCAGGTACTGACCGGACCAAGTTGATTTTCGGTAAATGGACCTCTTAATCAATCCATCCTCCCTGCGGGTTATGAGTATGTCCAGGTATGGTAGACAATTGTTTGTTCTATTTCGCATGTAACCCGTAAGTCAGCATGAGCATCATTGAGAAGTTCTACCAAATGTGTGAGCTGCTGCTCCGACGAACAGAAAGCTAAGATATCATAGACATATCATTTATAGTACGGCACCTGGGCTATTTCTGTAGAAATGCTTCTTTCTACCATCAACATGAAGAAATCAGCGAGCACATGACCTAGTGGGCTACCCATTGCTACGCCATCAATCTGACGGTATGGTGTATTCCGGAAGTGAATTTGCTAGCTCCGCTGAAACAACAGTTCAATCCTTACAGTCCTAAAGTCTCCTTTTAACTCATTGATGATTTAGATGAACTAAACTTGTCAGGCACATTTATATGTTCCTCGGATGTAGAATCCTTATTTACCAACGTCCAGCTACCTCAGATGGTTGATTACGTCTGCGAATTAGCTGAAAACGGTGGCTGTTCGCTACCAATTCCAAGTGAATTGCTAAGAGATTCTCTACTATTGTGCACGGAGAATGTGGATTTTCACTTCCGGAATACACCATACCGTCAGATTGACGGCGTAGCAATGGGTAGCCCATTAGGTCCTGTGCTCGCTGATTTCTTCATGTTGATGGTAGAAAGAAGCATTTATACAGAAATAGCCCAGGTGCCATACTACAAATATTTGTCGATGATATCTTGGCTTTCTGTTCGTCGGAGCAGCAGCTCACACATTTGGTAGAACGGCTCAATGGTGCTCATGCTAACTTACGGGTTACATGTGAAATAGAACAAAACAATTGTCTGCCATACCTGGACATACTCATAACTCGCAGGGAGGATGGATTGATTAAGAGGTCCATTTACCGAAAATCAACTTGGTCCGGTCAGTACCTGCACTTCACCAGCTTCACACCAGTGCGGTACAAACGGACACTTGTGAAGACTCTAGTTAGTCGTGCCAGACGAATTTGTTCGGCCGACTGTCTGGACGATGAGCTAGTGTTAATTACAGCAACACTAATGGCGAATGGCTACCCTCGAAGATTTATCGAGAAACACAGCCAACCGCGAGGACCAAAGGACTTGGTGCACACGGCAGCCAAGAAGAAAGTGTATATCGAGTTACCTTTCAAAGGTGACTTAGCCACGCTGAAGACAACTAAGCGTATAATTTCGGCTACACAATGAAGTTACTATGCTGCACAAGTTGTCGTCATCAACCGACTCCGAAATTTGCCCATACCTCTAACAAAGGAAGCTCAGCCTATTGGGGCCAACTCACACTGTGTATACCAATTTGTATGTGACTGCGGAAAAAGTTACCTAGGCAGAACGAATAGAACACTGACTTCCCGAATAAAGGAATATGTGCCAAATTGGGTTCAACGTGAAGTTGCTCAGATTGCCTACCCTCATCAGATTCCATGTTCTCGCAGACCGCCGGCTTCCTCGATGGGCAAACACCTATTAGACTCGGGTCACCAATTAGAGCTGGGCTCAGCGTTTAAAGTTGTGTTGTGTCATACTAATCCCCGCTTCCTTCGGTTTGCTGAGGCTGTCGCTATAATCCGGATTAAGCCAGCCTTATGTGTTCTTAACAATTATTTGTTAGCCTAAAGCTGCCTTGGACGTAGATGTGAATTTCCGTCGTTCGTTTTGCACCTTAAGCTTGTCTGGTTACACCCACTGTTAGCTATATCTATGCATATCGGTTATTGTTAATGGTACTGAGGAGACAATACTAAATGCATGCATCTATTAGCCTTCGTCTTCTTTCCCTGATTTCCATTACTTATTTGTTCGATTTATTTTAGTTACACATTTTTCGATTAAGAGTGGTGAAACCGAGCAAGGTACAAACACAGAAAATTGCAATTAAGCTGTATAAACTTCCACTTGTTTTACGGAGAACCCAATGCGCACGGATAGTACACGGTGGACATTCAGTTAAGGTAGGTCTTCTTGTACCAGTTCTCATTGTTTCTTAGCGGCAGCAAGCTCAACAATTCACACACTAACTTTTTCCATGATTTCTCTCTACTGCGCTAATTTGTCTGCTTGCTTTGTTATTTCACATAATGTTTTTTCGCCTACGTCTATTTCTATTAGCTTATAACTACTATTATTTATCCAAGGTTTAAGACAATCTTGATAAACTGACTAGCTGAACGGGTATAGACATTGATTTTTTCTGAAACCTATGAATAGATGTTGTCTTCTGGTCTCACGAAAAAAGATGGTTGATAGTTATGGTCTGCACATGTAAAACTTGTCAACAACATGTTTTTCACATTTTATCCTTTCCCTAAACACTTTTTTCTTAAGTAACGTCGCTAGGTTTTGTTGTTCATATTACAAGGACAAAAACATCAGGAAGAGCGCATTTGTACGCATTTTCCGATAACGGTTTTACAGCCTTTTGCCAGCTCGTTTCGCTTTATTGGACTGAAAATTACTAGCTGTTATCACATAAATGGTTCCTCTGTGAGCGGAACAAAAACTTAAATAAGGACAACCCTTCTTTCTGATTGATTGATCTGATTACAGATTGCTAAAGAAGAATGTCGGAGAGTAAGAGAAGGGACACCGGATGCGCACACGCAACCTGACATTTCATTCATTTTCAAATTAATATTTCTCATTTTGTGTTCAAGCGGTTCGAACTGCTCACTTGTAAGAGTAGCTCTCACAATTAAGTTCAATTTCCAGGCCGTGCAAATATGGAAGTAAACGTGTACGTATACACCATACATGTGCAAAGAATTTTGTAGTTATAGTGCTAACAAAATGCGTATAATTTCGATGGCTACTTTGTTTTACAGACCTTACATGTAACATATGATACAAGCTATGGTATGTCAAATCAAAGTCGCACCAAGAGATCGCAATTTCCAGTCCTCTTACACATTTCTGGAATTATGCTCTCAATTCTCATCGCACGCTCCCGTGCCTTCCCTCATTCGAATCATCTCAACGAGCGCCATCCAGTTCGCTCCGCCTACTGGATCTAGGATTTGTTGATTCCCCTTTATGACACGTATCGCTTGAGTCGAAAGCGCACTTCCAAAGCTGTCGTTTACTTTAACGCGGAACCCAGAAAGCAAGCGACATCCAAATCTACCTTTAAGTCCATGTGCGCCTGTCAAAGCATACGACCGGACCATACGAATTTAAAGTAGTAACCCCTGCGTTTAAACTTCGCCTCACTCAGTGGTATGGGCGCTGTGAATTTATTTGTCCTACCCTATCCCTCGTAGCCTCCCCTACTAAAATCGATCTCGCTATTTAGCCTTATATATTTTTGCATAGGTACTTTTTTCTGCTTAGTATCCGACGTATAGTTTACCGGAACGATGCCTATCCGTTACCGGTAGCTCAGGTGGCTTGCACCTGCTGCGTTTTCCCCTTTTTATTTTAGTAGTGCGACAGAGTAGCTGAGGTGTTTCCCACTTCTAGCTACCGTGTAGAAATTAATTAAATAGACGCTGTCAAGTACGGCTTTGTTGTTGTACCGAATGATAATGAGTCATCTTTGTACGACCAGCTGAATTACAAATTTAAAACTGTAATCTCCCTAACTGTAGAAAAATGCAAGCTAACAAAATTACCAAAGCCTGTGAACTGTGCAATAGTATCCTGTCTTTTTGAAGGTATTAACAACGTGTTCGCGTGCGATTCACAGCTACACCTCAGAGAAAAACTGTGATTCAAATGAAAATCGATTGAAACTACTTTGCGACTTCACTTACTTGCGGACTTATGTTGGTAAAATTGAGGTAGCAATTCTCCTCCTTTGTCCCTTCCTGTACTTTCCGAGCCAAAACTAGGCCAGGTATGCCGCATAAACAAGCAGCGACCCAAGAGCCCGCAATCAATATCCTGGCTTGGGTTTCTGTATTAAAAGATGTACTCACGCTTGAATGTAAAACCGAAATGTTACACAATATTCTCTATGCATCGCATGCCATCACGTCATTGTATAATCTAGCAATGTCAGTCTACGGAAATCCAGTAGACTGCAAACCTGTTATACGTTAAATTTGAGCATTGAAGTAGAACTGCTAAACGATTTGTACTGTTGTTTTTTAAAACAAAATAAAACTTGGCGGATGTGTTGCACCTTTCCCTGTCTATTTGATTTCATTTATAAGTTACTTTTAGAGACCAAGTTGGAAAGTGACATTTACTTGAAAGTATCCAACCGTATTTTTGTATAAATCATTATTCGTTACAAGCGGAAATGGAGAGTAGAGTGTAAGCAGCTACACCGTTGAATTAAATATGGCAACTTGCTGAGTCGGTGGTTAACTATCGAAAAGTACTTCTACAAGCAGATACAATTTCTTTGGTGCTAATCCTGACATGGTTATTTAGATGGCATCTAAAAGCCAGAAATTGAGCAAAGTTGTTTTCAGTGCCTCTCATCAGGCTTGTACGATACAGTAGATAACTAAAACTGAAACTAACAGAGGATATTTAGGCAAAGTAAATAAACAAAGCAAATAATATCATCAGGATCGTCATATCAACACGTCGTTTTGGGTAAGGTTGCGGTACAACCATCTATACCAGACTACACGAACTTTGACCATGGTGGTAGCTGGTGGGCTTGGACGAATGTATTGGTGCACAGCTCCGAATCAAGAGGTTGAATAATGATCACCACAGCTGCCGCTTGTAGGCAGCACCTAACTGCTTGCGCTTGGCCTCTGGGTTTGCTATACATGGGTTGTAAGGCCCTTGAGGGTCGTTGTGATTATTTGAGTCGCTGAAGTTTGATAAACCACAGTCGCCACAATGGGACAAAATGGGAAATGTTTTGGGACTCTTTTTTACATCGGCTTGTCCGGTTTCAAAATAAAACCTGTTTGAAACGAGCAAGAGCATTTGTATCTAAAATATCAAAAACTGACATCGGTATTCTTTCCTTGAGTTGCTGACTCAAGATTGACATAGCGCTTTTGCTTATCTGGCATTTGCCTCTGATATCTTCCAATGAAACAGAATATAATTCGAAATATACGCCTTATCTATGACACTACGTGTGTCCGCTCCGTCAAAGCAGCTGCATTTTATGTTCTTTTCTCCGAAAATAAGGGAGAAAGTTTGTAATCTCAGTGGACTATTAATCTTGGTTAGCCAACACAAAGCTATCGCCTTTGAAAGAGAAATCCAGCATTGTCACATCGAGGTACTTTATCCTTTTTATTTTTATTTAAATAGTATATAGAATTTAGTACCGCGTTTTAATCTCTGGGGTTCTTTGAACCCACAACTTTAATGAATTTTATCCAGGGGATACTTTAGTATTTCAACTGAGAAATGCTGTCACTTATTGGTGACAGCGTAGCTAGGAATGGTGACCACGCCGGGTCGTTTCCATGTGGGCAAAAACTAAACCCTGATTAACATTGCAATTATACTTGTTAACTGCAATATGAAAAGTATTTTGCTGAGCAGAGAAACGTCTGCGTATATTTAACTGAAAATAATACCTTTATAAACCGACGTGTGAAATTTCAACTGTTATTAGTCGGTCAATACATTACACTATAAGCATTTCGTGAATTCACGCACTGTTGCATGTGCGAAGATAATAATAGTGCAAGCAGCTAACTGATTCTACCAAAATTAACCATAATCACAGAAATAGGCGTTAGGTACTTGACGTAACTATCATCAACCTAGAAAACCAAATCTCACATTCACGTAGGTAACTTACTATTACTGATTTTTGATGATGTTGCTCGAAGAGGTCGACACACTGCCTCTGCTCGATCAATGCTGAGTACAACCAAGGCAAATGAGCTTGCGTACGTAATTGCAGACTAATGAACAAAAAATTTTAAAGCATATTAAGAAATCAACATTTTCTTCGTTGTTCTGCTGTATAGTTTGTGCGTTTTTCATTGAGTGACAGGGTTTACAGCATGATCGAATTGGAAATAGCTGTCGGCATATTAGAATTTATCATCATAATTGTCAACTGTGCAGTTAACAACCAACTAATTGTAGGATCACAACTGCTACACTTTGAGATCCAGACATTAAGTAAATATCAAACATATCTGGGGATTTCATGATCTGATAACCAACTCATTCTTGCCAAACGACACCGCTACCAAAGCTAAGATCGGTGTCGAATGTTGATGTACAGAGTGCTGCAATTAGGTTAGCTAGCTGGGACAAATATGTAGTTAATTTTTTCACCCCTTATGTTGCGCACAATATGGGCACGTTCCATATTCAACCGTTCCTAGTTTCATGTACGATCTTATTCATGAATATAAGCGTTGATATACTATAGAGCGAAAGCCATTAGGCATGGCAGGGTTTTGCAGGTCTTAAACATAAGAAATCTTTGGCTGGCATATATTTCCAACGTTAGAAGTATTTTGCGATGGACACCTAGTCGATAGGCTTTTGAGTTATAATAACTGTGCAACTATAGGAGTATTAGTAATCAACGCAAGGTTCTTACGAGTAAAATGCAACCATGCTAATGTCAGTTAATGACAGTAGGGAACCAAATAGGCCACGAAAGCAGCACGCTTTGTGGGCCAGCTTTCATATGCTCATATTGTTCAGCAACCTAGCTGTTATGTGATTAGTTCAGATTTAACTTGAAGCCATGTGAAAATGCTTAGTGTGTAGGAACAAAACGTATGACGCTGGAAGTATCTTTTGGGTCGTTTTATACAAGCTGTGTGGTCGAGGGATTAATGTTTTGTTTGTTTGGTGAAGAGTTATGCAAAAGCGGTAGTCGAAAACATTTCAACTATTATTCACACTTATCTATTTGTGAATTATACACTTTGGCAGCAACCCAGCTATAGACTTGTTCTCAAATCTATTGGGTCTAACCAACTTCGAACTTCGAACAGTATTGCCAAAGAAAAATTGTCAGCTTATGATAAGGCTGCTTATTGAATGAAACATCTTTATACCACTATGACACTGACAAAATTTAATGTTTCCTTAGGGATTATATTCATTCAATCCACCCTACATAAGCCTGTTTACTTTGCTGAATCTTGCAGCAATCTTTTAAAATTGACGTACTTCTTCTCACCTAGCGAAAGAATGCGAAAAATGGTGTCTTGAGAAGAGACAACATTCTCCTATGCTGAACAAAATGTTCATTTTAATAACACATCTGCTAAAACAACCATAAAGTATTCAAAGTTCCATATTTTACCTGCTCGTGGGTGGTTTGAACTGCTAATCATAAACTAGGATGTGTACCGTTTACGTTGTATGGATGTTGTAATTATAGCAACGCCAGAACATGTTCTCATTTTGTTTGTATGCTAGTATAAAAACGCGAACATTGGATAACAGAAGCTTCGATATTTGGATGAAACAAGCGCTTGATAAATTTTTGATGCTATTCACATGAAAAAACTGCCCCTCAACATCAGTTTCGATGCCTTCATCTGAGATCACATAAATCGGAAACAAGTTCTTATCAATCTTAGCAACTTGCCAAAACAATCGTTATGTGTGACGTATTTTACTTAAAGTCAACTCCTTTTAGGGTTCCGTAGGTTAACTGGTCATTGTGTCTCAATATAATAATTCACAAATCAAAATTATATTATATGCAATAAGTTGACAGCTCAGTTTAACATGCATGTAATTTACAAAAAAACGGATTAGTCATCTAGTTTAGGAACCACTGGACCTTGACGAAAACAGTTTTGCTAGCTATATCACAAGTTTAAGCCTTGGACAAATTGTAACGGTTTTGTTGCATTTTGGCTTTTGGTTATGTTTTTGGAATCATATTTTTATTTATAATTTTTCGTGCACAAATGCGCGCATGCACTCAACTTAATTGCACTGCATTGCAGAACCTTGTGAAAACCGTTGGAGCTTTTGCTCAAAATTGGCAGCTGGTAGTTAAAAACTACTGGCATTTTCATTACTTCTTACAGAAGTGATATGAAATGACACACCAACTCCTGTGATTCCTAGCAACTATACAAAATAAGTTTCTAAATGGATCACTATTTTAGTAATATTCTTAACCAGACCTACAACAATCAGTCTCTCTGGAGCGCCATGAACTACCTATATCAGATCTAATGGACTTGTGTTCAGTTGTGCTTTGTTTTTCCAATAATTTATTTCCACTTTACATTGCCTAAACGTCGGTGAATTGGACGTACATTTATTAAGTTTATCAAGTAAATTTTTGGAAACGAAACATAATGCAAAGGGCTCATACGAAAATTTATTCAGGTCTGTTGATTTACAAAATTTGACCAAATTATTTCAGTTGTGGTATCACAGAGTGAAAATGTCGAGTTTTCTAACCGATTGGAGTTGCGAAAGTTTTGCTGGGACAGAGTAAGACACAGAACACAGTGTCATATTTGTCCTGCTCGGGAACTTGGGTTACTCTTCACGGCAAAACTCGAAGAGATGGGCGGACTAAATTCTATTGGTGCACCCGGGTTGATTCAGTCCTACGTGGAGAGAACACAGACGTAAACCTGCGAATAATCTTCACACAGTAATCTATGAGCAGCTGCGATACAGTTTGATAACTAAGAACAAATAGGTACTAAGTTCACGTCAGCATGGAAGGCGGGGGAGTTCAAACAAAAAGCCTTACAATGCTCTACCTTCTAACCCAGCTGTCCTCAGCTGGTTTCAGCCAATTGATGTTTAAAACCGTCGAAGAACTATGAGTTCTTGACTTCAGTATTCGGTAATTTAGATCCGAAAAAACTTTCAAGTAATGATGGTCCTTCCAAGTTTCGACAGAGCTTCTTAGGGATGCCCGATATAGTTAGCAGTGCCTTAAGCCAAAGTGCCATAAATTTGAAATAGAATATTGATAGCTTTTTGTCAAATTGGGCCTCCTGGTGGCATTATATTTCGCAGATTTCCTATGTAAATTTGTTAGGCTCTTAACGTCCTAAACGGTAACCGATTAGAGGTTAATTGTGTGGCGCTGACGGCAAATTATCGAACTGAGATGTTTGGCTGGTCGATGAGTGGACGGATGCTCGATAAGATAGTAGGCATTTGGGTATGACTGTGCCGTATGTATGAAGCGTCTTGCTATTCTGAAACGACTGTAAGTACTGCTCAAGTGCACTGTCGGGTTACGCTACAAGATCGTTTCCTTCTGGTTAACACAGAGTATTCTGTGTCATTTGAATGTCGAAAATCGACCCAGCTCGCTCAAGAGCGTGATTTGCTAATTCGACGCCGCGGTCTGAGTGTAACTGACAGGGTGCTACCTACCTTGCAACCCAATTGCTACATTAAGCTATTGCCACGCCCCATACCTCTGCATTTTCATGGGCTAATGCTTTACGAAAATTAGTAAAGTGTCCCACCTTCACGATGGTGGCCAAAAACGTCGATACCCACGACCACGTTCGGAAATCCAGCTGTCACTAGCTGCAGTGAACCGCGACGAGTGGTTGTTGGGTTTTAGAATCCATGCACAGTAGGTGCGCTAAAAGCAGTATCTGGCGAGGTTACCTCACAAATAGGACCACCAGAACCGGCTTAGAATGGCAGCCTCAATTGTTTCGGTCCTGGGGGCCTTAACCCTTCATGGATACTTCTTATCACTTCCTGCATTCTAAAGGGGGCACAAGGTTTCTTCGCAAATGCATAACACGCTAAATTACCCGTAACTGCTACTATAGTGACCTCAAGTAGTTGGTTTTCTAAATGGTGCCCGCCAGCTCCTGATGCTTTGATCAGATTTCCTCCCGGATGATGCAATTATAGAAAGGGTTCAGCTCCAAATCCATCGACAGCAACTGAATCTATTTGTCCGTCTCCGTTGCGACTGGGATGATGGCCGTTAGGCAAGCTGCTGTGTACGATGGGTATGGTCTAAGATCCTTGGCAGACCTTCGGGATAAGGCATCGGCATTCCTATGCTTTGTGCCCGGCGGCGTTGTTATTCAAAGTAGCTTTCTTGCAATTGCTTTTGTCAGTGGAAGATCTGTCTTTCGAGTAGTTTTGAAGCCAGTTCAATGATTGGTGGGCAGCTCGAACAATGAACTTACGGTTAAGCAAATAGTGCCTCAACTGCTTGACTAAAACACAAACCCATGCATTTCCATCCGGGTTGTGCAATAATTGCCTTCACCATGTATATAATTCTGCAGGCATAAGCGTTACCTGTATCATCTTTTCCAGTAAGCATTATAAACGTACAGCCCCAATGCTAGTGCTACTGGCATCTGTGAGCAAAACGAAGGGGCCTGTAGAAGGGCGAATGTCATAGAATATCAAAATGGACGCTTTCCATTGCGGTTCGAAGTGTTTTAAATGAATCATGTTACGCACGTCTCCAAAGGAAAGCTTGACTAGCATTCGGAAGATCCTTCAGTCGGCTGGTCATGTTGGAAAATTGTCCAACAAAGCGCCGATAGTAAGAGGCAAAGCCTAGAAAGTTACGCACTTCGTCAAAGCTTTCGGAACTGACCACGAGCGGACCCCACTGGAACTTTGCCGGATCAGAGCGCACTCCTTCTCCAGACAGGAGGTAACCTAGATAAGCCACGTTTGCTCTTAGGAATGTACATAATGCGGGTTCATGTTTCAACCACGGCTACTATGTACGACGCAGCAAGGACATAATGCTCTGATTATATTCTTCCGTAGGTCTGCAGTGAGAAATAATATCGCACAAGCGAAATAAACAGTGTTTCGGAATGAAAGTTACTAGAGCGGTTTGCAACTGGTGCTGTACCTTTTCTGTCTCATTTGTTCAACCGAACCGCGTGTTTTGGAATTCAGTCACATCGCTCATATCATGCAATTTTATTAACGGAAGAAAGTCCTTTTGATT